TTTTAAGCGCAAGTTTTAGCCATTACAGGAATAATATTTGAAAGGGATAGATATATACGGTTGTTTAAATACGTCTCTGATGATCAAGATAAATAGTCCGAATTTTCTTTTAGACACCTAGACCTGAAAATTCAGACAGAAATGTGTCTGAATTTTTAGAAAATTTTTTAAAAATGTATGTACGCTTATTACACAATGCGGAACAATTATCGTTGATGATCACGCAATTATTAGCACGACGTGGAATTCTGAGAGGTGAAAAACGTGTTGGTGGAAAAAGATGAGACGTGCGATCCGTAGAGATTCGCTACGAAATAATATAGGTCACGTCTTGTAACATCGACAAGTCACGACATATTGCTTAACTCTGACATTACGAGTCGATTAACAATCACAATCGACAGTGCTTTATTGTTATAAATGACTTCCTTCGTATTATTATTGGCATTATGCCGATAGATATTGCTTTTATGTCGTTCCCCATTCCTCAATCGGAGAAAGGCATGACAAGCAAGCTAATTTATCTCGTGCAATATTCCGATTATAAGATTACTTTAATAGAAGAGACTTTATTTATATAATGGTGTAAAAAAAATCTGCTCTCGCTTATTGATTAAAGAGGGACTTTAAAATTAAGCGTCCTTGGTGCGGAGCCGATTTTAACGGCAGATTCCCAGACGAAATTGCGATAGGAAAACGACAACAAATGATACCGACGAAAAGAGACTTTTCGAGTGCCACGTGTATTGAGAAGGAATTTTCACGCGGTGAAAATTTATTTCTCTCGATATTCGAAAGGAAATTTGCCAATTCCCGTATCGCGAACAGAAAATTGTCAATTGATAGACATCGTTTATTAGAATTGCCCGGTAATCGCATGTAATCACGTGGCGATTAACGACACGATATCTTAGTCCGCCGCGTCGCAAATCTGAAGAAAATTATTTTTGACAGTTACATATTCTTTGTGTGTATATACACATACATAAATACCCAATAGAACTCGCATATTAAATATTAAAGCGATAACTTTGATTCCAACAAAAATCAAATGTCATTTTGGCTATATTATGAATAATAAAATATATTTCGAATATAAGACTGTCAGAAACATTGTACGTAAAAAAATACAGAATACACAAATATTCTCTTCTATGTGTTTCTATGTGTTCGCGCGCTTTAAAAAATAGAATACAAAATAATATTGCATATAGAAAAAAATAAAATTCAAAAAAAAATTTTATGTTATACCAAGCTTAGTTTAAAGCCGATTGAAAAATGTTTACAAGTTAGTATATTAATTAAATGCCATTTTGTGTAAAAATCTAGATGAAATACACAACAATATTATATTTGCATGCACACATACTTACTTTATACACTTACATTTATTACACAATGGACTTTATTGTATAAATGTCAAAAATATGCTATTAAATTTCATTATAACAGTTTATTAATTTGTGTTAATAAAACAGAAACATAATAAGTTTCCTTAATAAAAATTTTATTTAATTATTATGTTGAAAATATTTTATGGAATAAAATATGCGCGCATTTTTTCGGTCTTTATATATGTATAGAGAAAAAGCGTCTCGTGAAAGTTCATTTTTCAATTTCAATACAAAGAGGTGCTTGATCCTATTTATATGGGTATATGTACGAAAAATAATAAATGTCCAAAACTACAGTAACGAACCGAAACAATCGTGATGACACGTGAAAAGCGTTTTTGGGTCAAGGTTCGTATAGTCAACTATATTGAAATACACGGACAACGGATCGAGAGATTGCAAAGGCGAAAGTTTCGCGCGATACGTACAATCGTGCGACAGATGCCGCAACAACCCTCTATCATGGACAGAATAACTGCGAATGTACAATCTCCCTTTCTCTTGCGGATACACCGATAAAGAACTTTTGATCGCTGCCAATGATGATTGTTTAATGTGCATAAGAACTTATTAAAATCTCCGATAAGATAATTCATTTATTTGGATCAATGACGTATTTATAATTCCTGTTTCTGGAAAAAGTTTGATAGTGCAATAAAAAAAGCTCTTATTAAATACAAAATATTTTATTTAAACGCGACTTTATTCGATTTATAAAATAGCAAAAATATTACGTAAAAAAGTCAAAAAATTTCACGAAAATTCATTTAAAATCTGTTATATATATATATCAATAAATTTGTTAGAATTTTGAAGAAAAAGAAAAAGGGAATAATGTATACAAAAGGTTTCATATAAATATTATGTATTATATTTCTCGATGTATTTTTGGATGCACCTCTAAATAGAAAAAGAGTGTTAGATTAATATTTTAAATAGATATTAAAATGACTTACGATTAAAAAAAGACGTTCTTTTTTCTTTCTACTTTCCAAAATTTCAAAAAAGTGATATCTTTTTCCGGAATTATTATATACTAAAACATAATTTTTTTTAAATATAATCGGTAACAATTATTATAATAATACGTGTGTAAATAAAATATATTAACTATGAATAAAGTTTTTAAAAATCTTTGCTAAAATATTTAGGCCGCTCTTATTAAATTCCTATGCTTCGTTTATACTTTTGACATATGTAATATCGGCTTTTTTTAAAACAATCGCACTCCACCTGCACTGTACCTGTCGTAAATCTTATCGGTCCAGACACGGTATCGATCTACGTTCCTTCGACGACGCGCGAAAATGGGAAATGCCAGAGATCGGTCACGCTTACTCCGTATGGAAACTCGGCGCGATAACCCGTGTGCGACGTGTTGTTACTCGGGAGAGAGGAAATCGAGTTTCAAGATTTATTCGTGATATCCCGGTGGGCCGATAAGGTTTATTATTTGTGCGCCCCCGTAGCGATCAGCTGTGGAGTATGATAAACATTTTCGTCGCCGTGCTCAAAGCAGATTACTTCCGCGTTATTCCTTCGGATCGATTTGCAGCTCCGGAAACTCGTGATTTCACAAGCAAAAGCATCTTTTTCGTCCACGAGAATTGAACGCGCGAATCGTGCGCCGCGATAAAATAAATCTAACACGCTTTTATATCTACTTTGAAAGATATCTCAAAATTATAAACAATCATGTACTATGGCAATGTACAATAATGACTTCTTAAGTCATTTCCCAGATAAGTCATTCTCAATTGCACGACAAACTGAACTGTTGAACAAAACAGGATAATATCTCGTTTAAATTATTTATAATATATTTATATTATTTATATTATTTTTGATTTATATTATTTCATTTATATTATTATTATAACGCTAATTTATAAACGCTATAAATAATATAGTATTCTTTTTCTGTAAAGCAAACCAGTTTATAAAATGCTTGATTTAAAACGCTGCGGTATTATTTTATGGTTGTATACAAAAAGAAAAATCTAGATTTTATGCTAAAATAAATATGCCAAAATATACTGATACACGCAGAAAAAAAAATGTATTCTTTTAATTTATATTTACTACTAAAAGAAGCTCTCTTTCTTTAATTATACGTAATAAATTATTATAATAATTATAATAATTAAATAAATTGATTTCTATCTTTCATAGGACTAAAATTATCTTGCATTAAAACTTCAACAAATTATATTGTAACCGATCGACGATAAACACACGTGTGTACTAAAAAGAGCCAAATGTTACGCGTCGGTTTTATTATGCTCAGCAGTATAGTATACCCTTTTTACGTCATTCTTTATTAATATTTTTCGTTTTCTCTTTTCATTCTATTCGCGCGATGTGGTGAATAATGTTGAAGCTAGAATAAGCAAAAACCCGGGATATTTTGCAAAGTAAGCCCTTTTAAAGTGGCCACACATTTTACGGTCTTGTGAACCACTTCGATTAACTTTACTATGCAAAAATTCCGAATAAATTGAATCTTTTATTACATTAATCTCTTTATAATACGTAACAAGACTTTTAGATAGATTTAAGTGTTGCTTAAATTAATATATGGCTATACTAAAAGATATATATTCCGTATTAACAGATGGATCTATAAATATTTCAAGCATATCCGTCTTAAGCGCAATTATTATTTCATCGAAATTAGCAGAGCATATTTTAAAGCGCAAACACACAGTCGCCGCCTCCTATATTTAATAAAAATTATAAATTAATATACACTTTAAAATGCCACGATATTAACAAAACTTTTTTATCACTCCGTATAAAAATAAATAAGCGGAAAATCAAATAATACGCGTGAATGCGCGTAAAATAACAAAGTAAACTGAAATGTGAACTGCGCGAGAAGCTCACAGTCGCTCGTGTGTCGAGGATACCTTAAAATATGCCCTTGTTGCTCGGCGAGGATCCTTAAAATATATACTCTCGTCGTCCCAGAATAAACATCCTTAAAATATGCTAGGAATTTTCAGGACATCGTTCCTCTAACACGAGTCGCGCGAAACCGAAAGAATCGCCCGCGCGTTGGTTATTCTTAAGCGCTCCTCTAATAAGCCAGTCATGCAATTAAAATCCGTTCATCCGGCAAAAATGCAATCCTCGGCGGGGAGGAAGGAAGGGTTAACGGGGCGCGCGTTTATCTCGGGCGGTGTGCTCGCGAGCGTAACTTCAACTGCACGCGATTACCTCCGCGGCGAGCACAGAAGGGTGAAAGAAGGGGTGGGATGAGGGTGAAAGGAGGGAGACGAGGGAGAAGGGCAAGGCGCTCTCGCGAGAGAAACGAGCCTTCCGCGTCGCGTCCGAGCCCTTTGAGCGTAAACGGAAGTAGCCATCGATGTGCACCGGAAGCGCGCCGTTGCACCCGTGTCGCGCGTTGTAGAAAACATCGGGGAGCCATCTCGGATACCCGGAGGGTCGCGCGTGGTGACCACGACGGGAGAAAAAGGAGGACGAAGATGGTCGGGGGGAGGGACGGGACGCCTGCGAGAACGCCGGGGGAGTTAAAGGGTGGTCGTCGCGGCGGACAGACGAGGGCGGGTGGAGGACGAAAGATAAAAGGATAGGAAGAAGAGACGACCAGCAGCACCGCCGAGGGGAGAGGACGCGTACACCCTCTCGGATCTCGGGGTAGTGGTGCGGCACCGACGCCGACGTCGAGGTTGGGGTGGACGCACCGCAGGAGAGGGGCGCCATTATATTTGCGCAGGGCCGTCCAATAGGGCGCAGTATCGTCCCGACCGTCGTCGCGTGCACATGTCGTTTGTTGTGTGACCGGACTTGTAAAACGCGCGTAAAATCACCACCGTCGCCGTCGCCGACTCCCCCTCCCCGAATATACACACACGTCCCGGTGTCTTCTCGCGAGGGTGAGATCCACGCGAGACGCGTTCCCGTCCTCTACTCCTTCTGTCTCCCGTATTCTCTATCTTCTCTATCTCAATCTCTCTTCTTTTCTCTCTCTCCCTCTCCGTCTCCATCTGTCTCTTTAAACCCTGTATTCTTCAACCCCCTCCGCGCGCGTCATCGTACTCTATATATTCGCACGCAGATATATAAACAACAGAGACAGAGAGCGCGAGTCCGACCACGCACGAGGATCGTGGAAAGTGTTGCGCTGCGAGACCAAAGTGAGTAGACAAAGTGATTGTTTAATGTGAAGGGATAAGGGGGATCGGGGAGAAAATATGGCGGGAGAGGGATAATCTCGAAAGCTCTCACCCGCCTTTTCCTCTCTCCCTCTTTCTCTCATTTCCGTTTGCACTCCAGCGGAATGGTGGTCCTGCCCCGCGGAACCTTTTTCATCCCCTGTCATAAACGTGGCTAGTCAGTGTTTCACTTTCACGCAACGCGATACATCTCGGCGCCGTCATCGGGGGCGTCGTGGGAATTTTTGCTCGATTAATTTCAATTCCGTGTGAAAACACGCGAAAGACTCGGCGATATGGAAGGCAGCTTCGGAGATTTAAACGCTACATAGTGCGTGTTTAGCAATTTCCGTTTAAGTCTAGGGAATAAACACCGATAAATTATAGTAAAATTTTAACAATAGGTACAAAAAAAAAATAATAATCTTTATTTTTCGATCTAGAGCATTAAATATTGCATTAATCCATTGCACTACCTCCACAAAATTGCTACTTTTTAAAACAGCTTCTATATATTTAACTATTAATCTGGCGCGATTGATCCGCTGTCCATCATCGAAAAAAAAACCCGCATTAATAATAGATTATTTATTATGTATTTAGTGTCTATTTTTCTTAAGCAAAAATGAAACCAATCAAAACACCAATCAATAGTAATAATTCAATTTTTTGAGGATTAAAGCTCGTATCGAGCTGTTAGATAGAATTTGGGTGAAATTAACTCTGAAACGAGGACGTTATTATAAGATTGTTCGCAGCTTACATTTTGGAAACTTAATTTGCCTAAGTGCTTTAGAGTTATTATAAATATTTCTATAATTAAGCTTTTACATATATATAAAACCATCAAATTTTCATTAAGATGATATCGATTCCACGTTTCTAAAAAAAAAACTCTATCGCGCGTGCTTATAATAGTTACTATAATCTATCCTATATATATATATATTATAACTAAAAAATAATGAATTAAAAAAAAATTACTTTTAATAAAAATCAAATTTCTATCTTTCATAAATAAGCTGATGAAATACAAAGTTAATTTTTAGTTTCTTCGTAATTTTCGTGTATACATAAGAATATATATGGTAAAATAATCTTTCTCTATAATTTACTATATTATTTTTGTTATCTTTAATTCCTTAGCATCATCGAAGTCGTATTTATTTGTAAACGTCTTACTTGAAAATTTTAACATGTACGTAATTTTCTTTAACAAACTTAAGAGCAGGTTTCTAAAATGTCACAGTCCGAAATCTTTGTCTCATGTTGTAATCGTTCATACGAATAAAATTATCAAAGTAACATGAAATCTCGGACACCGAAATATGCTTAAGCTTATCCGGTGATCGTTGAAGATGGGAGAGAAAATGCGACGAAGATGTGTGAGTAAATGTTAAGATCTTTACTAAGCGCGTCACGATAATCTAAGCCGACATTTTCGCGTTACGTGAAAGTCGTCGGACTAGAGGGAAAGCATTTCTAATGGATCTTTCGAGAGGAGACGTGGTTGACGTGAGGTAGGTAACGAATATGCGTTTCCACTCTCATCATGGCATAAATTCGAAAGATCTTCGTCCAGTATAATGAATCTTAAGTACCTTGGACCTTTATAGTGAAAAATAAAATAGAAATTCCATTAACGCATGTTCATTATCGGAATCGTCTTGAAATTTCGCAGATGCTTTAGTAGTGATATATATATTACACACTTTTATAATTACAATTTCTAATATTTATGCGTGTGAAGTCATTTATATTTTTAAATAAAATGTAATGTGTGTTAAACTTGTTAAAATTTGAATAATTAGACGTGCGTCTGTAATAAATTATCTTATACACCATTTTAATATTGATTCAATTAATTTTCCACAAACATGTCGATAAAAAAATTTTGAAAGATACTAGAAATAAACCATCTGTAATACTTGTTATTCTATCTTTGTAATAATTAATTAATTTCATAACAAAAATATAACTAGAAAATAGAGAAGGTAAATAAAATATAGAAACATTCCATCAAAGAATGTCAGACAATTGTATTAGAAGTATAATATTATCAAAATATCTTTTCATTCAATTAATTTTCTTTTCGGTTAGAAGAACATTTCTCTAATTAGCCAAAATAAATTCCTATTCCACATGCATTTCGCTTTTTTACACACATTTCTACATAATTTAATTATATAAATCATATTAAAAAAATAAAGGCAGCTTTTTTGACGAATTTCTGCTGTATTTTAGTTTGCGCGTATTTTTCACCCGCACGAATATTCATGATATTTTCGTGAAATTTACTGTTTGCGTTACACCTACATTCTAATGAAATTATGCGTTCGTTACTTTGCGCATAATTGATAAAATAGACATCGTTACCAGATCTACAACAATGTCTCTTTATAATAACATTTTTAAACACAATTCAGAAAATACAAAATATATTGACAATCGTCATAATCGAAACGTAATTAATAAAGCGCTGCTTGATTATTCATATCAAATGAAAGAATTGCATAAAATAATATTTGTGAAAATTATGGATATAACGGGAATATCCCTTGTATATGTATTTCAAAAATATGAGAATCAGATTTATTCATATTTTACTTTCATTAAAAGTGTAGCTTCGTAACGAGAATGCCAGCACCAATTTGCGGAAGCTTATTTAGGTCAACTTAATGCCGCCTTTTCAACTAATAACGATCAGTAATGTTAATAACGCGTTATGCTTTCGCATGTGCAGGTTGTAACGTTACCGCACATTATTATTACATAAGAGCTCGTGCCTGTAGGAACTTCTATTCCAGTTAATTAAAAATGAAGCTTTTCCTTCGAGCGCACGACCGCGTTATCTTTTGGCGCACGCATGCGATCTAGTTAGTGATTCTGATAACATCCATCGTCGAGGAAAAAAAATATATATGGCACAATATCACGCAGGGTATCGCTTTTACTTACGCCAACAGTGTAAAACGAACGTAATTAATAAAGCGCTGCTTGATTATTCATATCAAATGAAAGAATTGCATAAAATAATATTTGTGAAAATTATGGATATAACGGGAATATCCCTTGTATATGTATTTCAAAAATATGAGAATCAGATTTATTCATATTTTACTTTCATTAAAAGTGTAGCTTCGTAACGAGAATGCCAGCACCAATTTGCGGAAGCTTATTTAGGTCAACTTAATGCCGCCTTTTCAACTAATAACGATCAGTAATGTTAATAACGCGTTATGCTTTCGCATGTGCAGGTTGTAACGTTACCGCACATTATTATTACATAAGAGCTCGTGCCTGTAGGAACTTCTATTCCAGTTAATTAAAAATGAAGCTTTTCCTTCGAGCGCACGACCGCGTTATCTTTTGGCGCACGCATGCGATCTAGTTAGTGATTCTGATAACATCCATCGTCGAGGAAAAAAAATATATATGGCACAATATCACGCAGGGTATCGCTTTTACTTACGCCAACAGTGTAAAACATATGCGTTCTCTTTAAACATGCCATGCAAAAATGAGTATTTCCTTTTTTTTAATTACAGAAAATTTCGGTTTCTTAATTTCCTGCATATAATTTCGCGAAAATTAAAAAAAAATGCGACTAAATTTTATATTATACACGCACAGAACGATCCCCAGATCTTGCTATTTTAAAAACACATTTCTGTTTGAATTAAACATAATCTTTATATTTGTAATACAATTCTCTTTACATCTGTAATAAAAAATATAATGGATTATAGCAGAAAAAATCTAAATACCCGTAATTAGAATTCGTAACTAGAACTTTGTTAAAAAATTTTTATTGAACAAAGATTGATTACGAATTATTCAAAGAAACCGTTAATGTTATTTATGAATCATCGAAATGCGACTGAAATATTCTCATACAATTAATAGATAAATAGTTGTTCTCAAAATTATATAATATTATATTATATTATATTATATTATATTATATTATATTATATTGAAATTGTTGATCAGCTTCTTGTGTAGTTTGCTACGTTTGAAAAAGTTTCGGGGAAGTTTATTTCTCGCATTGCACGAGCCGCCGCTTTGAAAGGACACGCGATAAAAGAATTTGCGCCGATGCGCGGATACATCGTAGTCGCAATTCGTATAGCAAATTGAATATATTAATTTTTTATTGGAACTCTCTTTGTGTGTGCGTCGTGCTCTAGACACATTTATGGAAATTGATATTGCAGGGGGAAAATGTACTTCAGGGTATGCTCGCTCACGAGCTCCTATTACGATGAAGTTGCTTTACGTGTGTGCGTGCGGAATACATAATTTTTTTTTATTAAACTTCTTCACGAACTCATCCTCCGAAATTCGAACTTTATGAGGTCGCGACGTTCGCAAAGTTCGTTTCGCGGCCGATTGCACGAATTCGAATTTAAATCCAAATCATTTATCCGTTTGTCACGAGGTTAAAAGATCAACGTATACACATCGATAGGTCCAAAATTCCGCCTGCATTGTGCAAGAGCAACGCACGTCCCGTAAAAAAAAAAAAAATAAAATAAAAAAGAGAAAAATCGTGCAATCTTTCTCTCGAACCCGTTATTGTAATTGCATTGGCCCCAGTCAAAATTAAACTCTTCTGTTTTTATTGGAATTCCTACGGAAAAATTTAATGCTCAGTTTTAGTGCATATATAGAATAAAATACGGGAGCAGCTACGGTTTTTGTGTTTTAATGCTTCTCATTTTTCCTTTTTGTAACTCATTCGATGGCTATCGTAATATGCGCGGTAATGTGAAACCAGTAGCATTGTAGAATTGTGTGCGAGCAAATCTTGGTCGGATTGTTGCATTTTTTTTCCACTGCAAACTAGTCCTGACAGTGTAATTAGAGATTCTGTCGCGCGGTTACAAATTCTCACAAACTATTATTCAAATTAGATGCCCTTTTGAACTTTGGTTTAAAGCTTTATTCAAAGTTGACTATTTGTCTTCCCTTTCCTCAAC